AAGATTTTTCAAATCTTTTGCCCATTTTTTCTTTAACTGTGTTGTTTTCTTACTGATGAGTTTTGACAGTTCTTTATATATTCTGGATGCAAGTCCTTTCTCAGGTATGTGATTTGCAAATATTTTCTCCCTGTCTGTGGGTTGTCTCTTCGATCTCTTAACAGTATCTTTCAGAGCAAAAGCTTTTAATTTTGATGAAGTCCAATTTATCAATTTTTAATTTTATGGATTGTGCTTTTGGTGTTAGATCTAAGAACTCTTTGCCTAACTCATAGCCACAAAGATTTTCCTCCTGTTTTCTTCTAAAAGTGTTAAAAATTTACATTTTATCTTTAGGTCTGTGATCAATTTTAAGTCAAATTTTGTGTAAGATGGGAAGTATAAGCCAAGGTTCTTTTTGTTTTTTTTTTTTTGTATATGGATGTCCAGTAATATTCCAGCACCATTTATTGAAAAGATTATCATTTCTCCATTGACTTTCCTTTGCATCTTTGTCAAAAATCAATTAACTGTATCTCTGTGGGTCTATTTTTGAGTTCTCTATAGTGATTCATTGTTCTATGTATCTGTCCTTTCACCAGTGCCACACTGTCTTGATTACTATAGCTTTTATAGTAAGTCTTAAAATCAGATAGTGTGAGTTCTCCAACTCTGTTCCTTTTTCAAATCGTTTTAGCTATTCTAGTTCCTGTGCATTTTCATATAAATTCTAGAATCAGCTTCTTTGTATCTATAAAAAAATCCATTTTTTAAACCCATGAGATCCATGTCAAACTTATAACCCACAGAACTATAAGACAATATATTTGTGTTGTTTTAAGGCACTAAGTTTGTAGTAATTTGTTATAGCAGTAATAGAAGACTAATACAGTGTATTTCAAGGAATTTTTCCATCATTTCTTCTAAGTTGTCAAATTTATGGGCATAGAGTTGTTTGTAGTATTTACTTATTATCATTTTAATGCTTGTTGGGTCTGTAGTGATATCCCTTTCATTATTAATATTGGTAATTTGTATCCACTCTTTTTTTCAAAGAATCATCTTTTCATTTCATTTTCTCCTCAGTTTTTCTGTTTTCAATTTTATTGGCTTCTGCTCTTTATTATTTCCTTTTCTTCTGCTGTCTTTGGGTTTAATTTGCTCTTCTAGTGTTTTACCTTTGTTTTTAACATAGGTTATTTAATTCTAAGTTTATATAATTTAATTTTTAATGACAGTCATGTTTAACAATGAGCTCACAATGTTTCCAATAATCATACGGCTCCAAGCTGGTATGAGCTGGCTCCAGCACACCCTGCTCCCAAGTCTCTCTTCAAATGTGCCCTCTTCTCTAGGCTCCAGACTCTATCTTAGCTGCCTATTCAACATCTCTGTTGAATGTCCAATTGGCATCTCAATGTAAACACACCCAAAACAAATGTCCACCATAGCCCAAATCTTTGTCCCCACTCTTCCCTCCATCATCACCACACACCCATTTGCTCAAGTCCTTAAGTAAGGCTTCATCCTTGGCTCTTGTTTCCTCACAACCCACATCCAATCAGTCATCAAATTCTTGCAACTCTACCTTTAAAACATATCTGGAATCTGACCATTTCTCAACACCTCCTCTATTGTCACCCTGGTTCAAGCCACATCAACTCTCACCTGGATTCTGTAATAGACTCCTCACTGGTCTCCCTGTTTCCATCCTTGCCTCTGTATAGTCTACTCACAACACAGCAATAAAGTGATCCTGTTAAAACTAAGCACTATCAGTTCTCTCCTCCGCTCAAAACTCTCACTGGCTCTCATCTCAAAGAAAAATCTAGAAATGCAGATCAAAACTACAATGAGATACCATCTCAACCTGACATTACTGGTACTAATAAAACAAAAAAAAAACACAGAAAATAAATATGTTGGAGAGGTTGCAGGGAGATTGGAACTCTTATGCACTGCTGGTGGGAATGTAAAATGGTACAACCGCTATGGAAGACAATACGGCACCTCCTTAAAAGGCTAGAAGTAGAAATACCGTAAGATCCAGTAATCCCACTCGTAGGGATCTATCTAGAGAAATAAAAGCCATCACACGAATAGACATAGGCACACGCATGTTCACTGCAGCATTATTCACAACTGCAAAAAGATGGAGGCAACCTAAGTGCCCATCATCAAATGGATAAACAAATTGGTATACACACACAATGGAATACTAACAACAATAAAGAACAATGATGGATCCACAAAACATCTCACAACATGGATGAATCTGGAGGGCATTATGCTGAGTGAAATAATTCAATCAGAAAGGGATGAATATTGTATGAGACTACTATTACAAAAACCCAAGAAAAAGCTTACACACAGGAAAAAAACAATCTTTGATGGTAATGAGGGAGGGGGAGAGTTGGAAGGGAAATCACTAGATAGACAAGTGTTAACTTTGGTGAAGGGAAAGACAACAAACAATATAGGGGAAGTCAGCACAACTTGACCAAGACAAAGTCATAGAAGCCTCCTAGACACATCCAGACACCTTGAGGGACCAATTTACTGGGGCCGAGGGCTGGGTACCATGGTCTTGAGGGACATCTACGTCAACTGGCATAACAGTTCATAAAGAAAAAGTTCTACATCCTACGTAGGTTAGTACTGTTAGCAACCATCTTAAATACATCTGTTGGTCACATTATGTTCAGAGCAAAGGAGAACGAAGAAAACCAAATACACAAGGAAAATGTCAGTCCAAAGGGCTAAAAGACCACATGAACCACAGCCTCGACCAACCTGAGTCCAGAAGAACTAGACAGTGCCTGGCTACCACCACTGATGGCTTTGACAGGGATCAAAATAGAGTCCGGATACAGCGAGAGAGAAATGTAGAACAAAATTCAAATTCACAAAAAAAAGACCAGACTTACTGGTTTGACAGAGACTAAAGAAACCCCTGAGATTATGGCCTCCAGACACCCGGCTAGCCCAGAATTGAAGCCACTCCTGAAGTCTACCTTTCAGCTAAAGGCTTATAAAACAGCAACACACGTGAGGAACGTGTTTCTTAGTTCAAGTATACAAGACCAAATGGGCAACACCTGCCCAAAAGCAAAGGCAAGAAGGCAGGAAGGGGCAGGAAACCTGGATGAATGGACATAGGGAACACCAGGGTATAAAGGGAAAGGGGGAGAGTACTGACACATTGAGGGGATTGCAACCAATGTCAGGAAACAATTTGTGTATAAATTTTTGAAAACCTAATTTGCACTGTAAACTTTCACCTAAAACATGGTAAAATTTTAAAAAAGAAAAATCTGAAGTCCTTACCACAACTTCCACAATCTCTCCCCCCATTACCTCCCTGGCCTCATTGCTTACTCTCCCCTTGACTCTGCTCCAGGCACACTGGCTTTCACTGCTTTTCTTGAAACACCACAGCCATGTTCCCGCCTAAGGTCCTTTGCCTTGGCCAACAAAGTACTTCTCCAGGTACCCACATGGCTCACTGCCTTCAGGCCTCTGTTCACACTGTACCTCCTCACAGAGGCCCTTCTCTGACCACCTGATCTATAACAGCAGACCCTGACCCTCTCTATCCCCTCACCTTGCTTTACTTTTCTCCGTAGGTCTCAGCATTCATGTTCTGTACCCCTGACCCCTTGCTGGCGAGGAGGGCAGGGGTGTGTCCATTCTATTTACCACTTTATGCCCTAGAACAATGCCCAGCTCATAGTAGTACCAAATCAGATCTGTTGAACAAAGAAATGAGCAGCAGCCAAGAGAATGCCTACAACCCCTCCCCTTGTTCCCTACTCCATCAGGATGAGGACACGCTTCTTGGCAAGCCTGACAAGGTGCTGGAGGATCTGGCCCCACTAATCCCTCTAGCTCTATCTTGGGCCCCTTGGTCCTTCACCCCCGTCACTTTCTCCAGCTACAATGAATTTGTAGGTCCCTCAAATGTACCACTTGCTCTCACATCAAGCCTTCCTGGTACCTTCTTGGGACTGAAAATCCCCACCCCACCTGGCCCATTTTTCAAGCATCCTTCAGCTTGGCTATCATTGCTCCGGGAGGCCTTGCCTGACCCTCCTCAACTAGGTCCAGGGCGGGGGGTGGGGGTGGGGGCGCCTCTTCAGCTCCAGTGGCCCAAGGCCTCACCCATCACAGTCCATGTCACACTGTAACTGCCTCCCCCAAGAGACCTGGGACCACCACCCTACTCCCCATCTCTGTCATCCTCCCACATGGAGGACCTAGTATAGCCCAGTGGAAGAGCCAGGAATCAACAACCAGCCAGTGCCTACAGGGTGTTCGCCAGTCACAGCTCCCATCCTAGTCCTCGCCATCAGGTTGAGAGCCCAGTGGCCCCACCACACGACAGGGGTGGCAGTAAGAAAGCAGCAGCCTGGAGGCCCTGGTGGTAAGAGGTTGCATCACCCAGTTCTGGTGATTATGCTCCCACATCTCCCATTACCACTTCCTGCCTAACTTCCAGCCCACGTCACACCCCTTGGCCACAGCTCCCAAAGGCTACCGAGAGAGTAAAAATAGAGGCAGTGGGTACCCAGATCTCAACCCCACTGTGCCCAAGCCCTTGAGGCTTCCAACCCTAGGGAAGTGTCAGCCTGGGGTTCCCGCTTCCCTCCTGCCCTCCTGCTAGGAGCTGTGTGCAGGCCATGGGTCTGCTCCCAAGCCACCTGGTGCTGCGTGTGACGCAGCAGGAGAGGGTCTGAGGCTGAGCAAAGGAGGCCACTGCTTATCCATGTTTCTCTGGGACTCAGCTTCTCCCTCAGCTCAGTAAGGCTGGAATTTCTATATCCTAGGCCTGGAGGTAGGGAGAGGAGAGGCCTGCCCCAGCACTGGCCTTCATGACTTCACCTCCTGGAGGCCGGGAGGGGCTGCCTAAGCCAGCAGGAGTGAGCCTCTGGTGCATTGGAAAGGCTGAAAAACAAACACACCAGAATCCAAATCAGGAAAGTCCGGATCCAGGGTTGCCGTGGCAACCTGCAGCAGGCTCCCAGCCTGCGCTCATTCTCTCTGGGGTTGGGGCCAGGACTTTCAGGCTCAGCTGCCCCCGCCTCCGAGGCTTCCTCCTCGGGCTTGGCCTAGGTCCAGCACAGACAGAGGTGAGGGGCAAGGGCAGACTTGAGCTAGCCAAGGCCCCCACTGCCAGCTTTAACAAGACCCCTCCTCTCCCAATGTAAGGTCCACACCCAAGGGCCTCCAGGGTCTGGGATCTGCCTCAGTGTCCTTTCTTCACTGAGGCCCCATCCCCAATGGCTCCTGTGGCCATCAGCTGCCCGAGCTGATGAGCATCCCTTGCACGTGGGATGTCCTCGAGCTTCCACCACCACCAGTGGCCTAGATGCTTTTACCTGGTCACAGGGCAGAGAAGGCAGTGAGAAGATGCCCCCACCTTCCCTTGTAGCCAGGGTGGAGGCATTTGGTGTCATGGTTTATGCAAGCTTTCTCTCATGTAATAGCACTCCCCTTGACAGATGAGGAACAGGCTCAGAGAAGTGACTTCCCAAGGTCACAGAGCTACTGGGTGTGAAAAGCTGGGTCCCAGCCAGGGGTTTCCAACTTCTGAGCCCAGACCACTCCCATGGGGCCTGTTACTGGGGCTGCCCTGGGCTGAACATCCAGCATGTCACCTAATGGCTCCCCTAACTACCACTGATGGGGGAGTGGTCTGCACTAGCTAAGATACAGACACACAGTAAGCAGACAGACAATGGCCCTCATGCCTCCATTTAATGGCCAAGTTAGCACTGTCCAGATGATCCCCATGCCCCAGAGGGAAGTCTTCCCTCCTGCCTGGTGTCCCGCAGAGTCCCACCCAGCTGGTGCCCATCAGCCTCCCTAGCAGCACCCCAGCCCAGTCCGGTGTGAGCGGGAGCTTCATCTCAGCCCTTGCAGCAAGCTGTTGATAGAGCCCAGTAGTTCCTGGAAGTAGCCCTCCTCCTCGCCATCCTGGAGCTCCAGAGCAGCCAGCGCCTGGTACTCCGCTTGCAAGCTGGCCAGCGTCCTGCTAAGCTGGGCGTCCTGACGGTAGTGGTCTTGGCAGGTGGCCAGGAGGGTGCCCAGAGTCTGCAGCACCTTTTCACGGGCATCGTGCTCAGGCAGTGCCAGGAGACTGGCGGTGATCGCACACCAGCCCTGTTCCCGCAGGCCTGGCAGGAGGTGCACCTGGCGATACTGCTGCAGCTTCTCTGGGGAGGTCTCACGGGTCAGCTCAGCCTCCTCCTCGGCAAACATCTGCCGTCCGCACGGCCAGGTGCCAGGGAAGGGGGCATGGGGAGGAAACACAGACAGCAGTCAGCGCACACAATGCCAGCCCAGCTCGTCAGACGCGAACCCTGAGGCCCACCCTCTTTCTCCATCCCCTTGGGCCTCAAAGGACCTACATGGGAGCGGGCAACTGGGTTCATGGTTCACACATGCTCACCCACCCATCCATATGTCCATCCGTCCATTCATCCAACCACTCATCAAAAACAACTGAGCACTGCGCCAGGTGCTGGAGAAACCAAGATAAAAGACATGGTCCCTCCAGGAGCTCCAGGTCTAGCAGGAGAATAAAAGCAATTGAACAGTCCTAACTAGCACAATAAATTTAATCTAACACTGCAGTGTGGGGCAGACAGTCTGGCTTCGCATCCCTGCCCCACTGCTGATGAGCTCAGTGATCTTGGGCTGGTTACTTAACCTCCCTAAGACTCACCCAGTATCACCATTTCTTAAACAGAGATAATGTAACTCCTTCAGGGCTTCTGGGGGGACTGAAGGAAATAATGAACATGCAGCCAGTGGCTGGTGGACAGTGCCCCCCTCCACCAATGTTAGCACAATAGCAAGTATTATCACACCATATATACCTCATCGTCACCATCATCACTGTCATCATCATCAACATCACTACTACTCCAGATTCACTTCCTCAGAGGGAGGAATGAACTGCTGCTGTTAGGGGGTGAGGGTGGAAGGAGGGAGGGTGTTATTTTCCTGAATCCTGAGGGGTAAAATGGGGAGCTGTCCAAATGGACAAGGTGGAAGGCCATCCACTCATAAGAAGAACCACACAACAGGACTGGACCCACCTCATATTTGAGGAAAGGCAGGCTGTTCTGGACAATGGAGTGTGAGTGCCTGAGGGCCAGGCTGGGGCCAGAATGTGCAGAGCTCGGGGCACCCCTCCAAGGGCCTGGGGAGCTGCAGAAGGTTTGGGCAGGGGCATCACATGCTCAGCCGTGTCTGGCATGTGCAGAAACTCAGCCCCATCAGTACAATATGGTGGGAACCAATTCTTCCAGGCTGCCATAGCAGGAAAGAAAACACCTGAAACCTGACAAGTAACCAGCTTGTTTCAATGTCAGAGGTAGGCTACTCAGAGGTAGGCTACGCAGAGGTTAAAAACGGGAAAGAGTGCCCCATGTTCACTGTACTGAATGTACCTGCAGGAAGAAAGGAAGAAGGAATCCCTGCCCTAACCCCAGGGGAGTACAAGGTGTGTGGAGGCCTGGAAAAACAAGAAAGAGGCCCAGGAAAAGATCAGGGGGCGCAGTGGACCACTTGAGGAAGCCCCTGCAGCACAACGCCTGGGCTTAGCACCTTATGTTGGCCTCAGACCCTTTGCAGCTTGGTATTTCTGATGGTAAAGGCTAAATCCCTTCTGGCCTCCCTGCCTGCGCTTGGCTGTGTCCCCTCTACCCGCCCTTGCTCTCTGCTCTGGTCACACTAACTCTCCCCTGAGCCTTTGCAGATGCAGTTCCCACTTTCAGGAGCTCTCCCCACCCCACACCTGTCCTCTGCAGGTAACTCGACCCATCCCTCAGACCTCAGTGCCTCCTGATCCCCAGAAGGACTCTTTGATAGGCCTTAGCTTACATGCTCTGGGATGACTCGGATAAGCATCTGCCTGGAAGTGCCAGGAGGGCAGGGGCCGCAGACTATCTCCCCAGCACCTCACACAGCAGGCCAGACTCCCAGTAATGCTGTGGAAGGAGCACTGGCAGGCAGGGTCACAGTGCTCACGATCCAGGTGGGCATCCCACCTCTGCAGCAGCCCCCAGACCGCCAGGGCATGCTCTCTCAGTAGAGGTCCTGCCATGGCCCAAGGGACAGAGATGGAAATGCCTGGGGCCTGGTGACCACAGAAGGGGGATCCAGGGTCCCTGCAATCTGAGGTGGGCCCACACTCTTGACGCGGATTCTGCATTCAGCTGCAGTCCCCACACCAACCATGCCTTTGAGGTGCATGCGGCCCAGGGGGCATCCTGACCCACCTCCACCTTACAGCAGCTCTGGGGCCACCCCAGTTTAGCCAGTTCTTCATTCTTTCTTAGGAACTGCAAGAAGAGAAAAGCCCTGGCTGCCCTCAACCATGAGTACGCCCTGACGTCTGTCCTAAAGCCCCCTGACTGAGCTCCTCCACTCTTTCTCCACGGAGGACAATGGTCCCCTGTACTGTTTGCACAGTCCTCCTCCCCATCGTGATGGAGCCCTAAGGCTGTCAAGGCGGGCTCCCGACTCCGACTCACTAGTGCAGCCTTGGGGAGACCGCTCAGCGGGAGTGCTCACTGATGGGTCAGTGCCACCGTGCTTGTGACACCCACACTGGGCAGCAGACGGACACAAATCCAAGACATTAGAAGAGAAAGGTCAGTCTCTCCTGGGAAATGCCAGGCCAATGCACATGTCCATCCCCAGGCTTGCTGGCCCCTCCTGGGCTGCAGACTGTGCCCAGGCTTCATTAAGTGGATCTGAGCACCACATGGCTGCCTGCTATCTGAGAACTGGGTTTCTGCAGCTTGGACCAAAACAGAGAAACAGACTGAGAGACAAGACAGGCCGAGAGAGACAGACAGAAGGGCAGAGAGCGAATGGCAGACGGAGACAGACCTCTGCTTTAGGAGGGAAGGCCAGGGAGGAGGGGGAGTGCAGAGCATGGGAGGGTAGGAAGGAGCCTCGGCCTCCCACACTCAGCACAGCCCCAGTGCTGCCCACCCAGCTCCACCAATCGGCAGTTGGCAGCTCTGTGGAGAGTGTGGCTCCACCAATCAGCAGTTGGTGGCTCTGTGGAGACTGTGGCTCCACCAATTGGCAGTCAGCAGCTCCGTGAGAGCGTGGCCCGAGAGAGGCAATGAGAAAGCCCTGCCAGTGCTCTCTGCAGCAGCTGAATTCAGAATCCAGGACTGGCTAGTTCTCAGGATTGGAAAGACTAAAGTGGGCTGGGCACTAAGTTCCTGCCAGCCAGCAGGCAATTGAGGTCCTTGGGGTTCTTGAGGGCAGCGATTCCGAGCCGCTGCCTGGAGCCAGAGCTCCCAAAGAAGGCTCCTCCAAGCTTCTAGAATCTTAACAGTCAGCGTCATTCCAGCCCTGTCTCCTGGTTTCCGGGCTGCTGTGACGGCCTCAAGCCCTTAAGTGGCACCCAGGCTCAGCTGCTCCATCCCACCTGCTCTTACCGCCCTTCTTGCTGCTTCAGCCAGACGACCCTGTGTTTCCATGAAGGCCCTGATGCTGGCTGTTTCTGGCCTTCAATCATGCTGGGCCCTCCACCTGGACATTTGGTCCTAACCACCTCCAGCGCCAAGCCCCTAACCTGGCCTGTCCCCCTCCTGACCAATCTTCAGGTTTCAGCTTAGCAGTCCCTCCCTGATGTCTCAGGCACCCTGGGTTAGCATTTCTGTCTGCCAGCCCTGGCTGGACATGTTTGCTCAGAACACTCAGTTACGAGGACGGACAGATGGATGGACGAATGGAAGAGACTTAGGAGGGAACAAGGGTCAAACGGCCAGAAGCAAACACAAAGCAAAGTGAGGCCTGGGTACTCACCTTCTCAGTGATCAGGTCATAGAGCAGAGTGACCACGCGCACGGCCAGCACCTCCGTGCCCTTCTCCTGCACCAGGCTCCTCAGGACCTGCAGCCCCCCCAGCTTTAGGAACTGCTGCTGAGCGTAGGGGAAGTGCCGCAGCAAGGAGCACAGAGCAAACAGGACCTGGGAGGCACAGACTAAGGGCCAGGTGAGGGACCACACAGAGCTGGGCCTGCCCCAAGGCCTAGAAAAGGCAGCTGGAGGTGCCCCCATGGCCCCAGCACAACCTCCATTCTCCCTGGCCCCACTCAACATCCTCAGGTACAGCTACACTCCTGGGCAGCCCATCCAGCTCAAAACCCAAGGCTGTGAGAGCCGGGAAGGACCTCAGACATATTCATCACCCAGTGGACAAAGGGTGGTAAACGGAGGCCCAGGATGGGAAGCCAAGGGGTGGAGCCCCAGCCTGGACACCCGCAGCTGAGCCCAGGCCCCAGACCCCTCACACGCTGCCGTGCCAACTCAGCCTTAGCTAAGTCTGCCCTCCACCCCACACCACCTAGCGGATGACCATTCAGGCTCCCAAGGGTGACATGCACAGCCTCTGTGGAAAGGGACCCCTTCCTTTCAGGTTCCACAGGCTTGCTGGGGGCTAGGAGCGAGGTCGGGGTGGAAACACACCTTCTTCTTTGTGGCAAGAGGCTGCTTGGTGGCCAAGATGACCAGCAGCTTTTGCAGGGCTCCTCCCTCAATGGCCTCCACCTGGACCTTTGGGTTGCTGGAGGAGGAAGCAGAGAAAAGCATCATCTTGCACCTGCTCACCAATGTGGGGGCACTCCGTGCACTCTGCCAGCCCAGGTATCAGGTGGTTAGGGAGCTGACACCACACCAGCCATCCTGGGGATACAAAGGACACAAGGGAGGGTCCCATCCAAACAAGCTGGAACTTAGCTGGGGAAACAAAGACCAGTTGGTGTGGGGCCCCCAGATACAACAGCCCATGGCATAGAAGACAGGGCCAAGGGCCCCCTGCCTGCCTCCAACTCCACAGTAGACAATGGGCTGGAGCTGATCTGGGAAGGCAAATCACCTCTACCATCATATAAGATCCTTCCAATTCCAAAGGGGCTTCTTCGGGGTCCCTCCTGTGGGAAGCTGTCCCCGACACACCCCAAGCCAGTGATAGATGCTCCCTCTTCCAGGATCCCAGGCACGTACCACACTGGGGGATATTACTAATGGGTCTGCCCCGCGTTGGGCTAGGAGCTCCTTGAGGGCAGGGGCAAGGATCCCATCCTCTCCTCTTCTGGGAAGAACAGGGGTCTGGTGCTCAGATAGCGCTCAGTAAACACTTGTGGGATGAATGCAGGAATAAAGAGCAAGGTCCAGGGAGCCTCAGAATACCTGAGTAGATCCTAGAACAGGACCAACTCATCTGTCTCCCCACCAGGCTATCTACTTGATGAGAGTAGCTACTGCCATTTTCTCTGTCCCTGTACTCTCAGTGCTTAGCAAAGCCTGTGACATAGCAGGGCTTCGGACAATGGGGAAGGAACCAATAAATGTGAAACCCAGTGCTGCTTGTGGAACTCCTCTCCCATTCTGGGCAGGGGAAACAGTGATGAGATAAAAACAAACATTTCAGGCCCAACCCTCCTGGATGAAAGGACGGGGATGCCTAGAGGGAGTGACCTCCATTAGGGCAAGGGTGCCAGGCTGGGAACACAGCCTGGAACCCAAGCAGGATACCCTTTTGCTGGCTCCTTGCTTCCTAAGAGCAAACTGGTGCTCAATTAAGAAGCAAAAGCCAAGCACAGGGACCCCATATACTCTGGCCCTCAGGGAAGGTCAAGGCTCCCAAGACACAGTAGCCCACCAAAGAGGCAGGGGAGGGGTGGAGGTATGCAAACATCTAAGGCCAACAGCAAAGGGGAGGGGCCAGGCCAGAGGGGGAGGGCACTAAAGTGGCTGTCACACCAGCCAAACAACCCACCAAGGGCAAAGAAGTCCCCGCCTGTCTCTGGCTTCCTTACCCTAGGAAGGCCACAAGCTCCCTGGAGACCCAAGAAATACCTGTTCCTCTAACCCCCAGCCTTGGCAGGATGCCCTCCCAGCATCCTGGAGTATGAGGCAGCTGTGGGGAAGCACAGACAGACCACAGGGAGTAGGATCCTAGCCAGAAACCCAGAAAAACAGGAGGCAGGCAACAAGAGAGATGGCACCCTGAGGTGCTGCCCACAGGAGAGGGCCTGGCACACAGTGTGCTCCATAAAAGCTGGCAGAATGGAATGGTGATGGGTCGGAGTCAGTCTATTCCAACCAGGGACCAGCTACAAGGTTCAAAGCAGACTAGCACTCTGAGCCCCATTTCCCTGCTGTAAAATGGGAGGCTCCTTCATCCCTCTGCATCCAGAAAGAAAGTGCAGGGGTACCAGCCTGTCTCACTGCAACACCACCCTGTGTCTGAGGAGCAGCCTGGAGATGGGCTGGGCCCTGGGAAGACAGGCTGACAGCTCTCTAGACAGGCATGTGGGAGTGACACGAGAAGCTGGGAGCTCAGCCTCCCCTTGGCCTCTGCTCCAGCGACTTGAGGTAAGCAGCTGCTTCATCAAAACGTGAGCTAATTAGGGCCCCCTCTGCCATCATGTGCCTGAGGAACGCTCACCCGAGACAGGCAGGGTATCGGAAAAGACGATGATCACTCTGAGAAATTCACACAGATGTCAAATGCTGCCTCCCAAAGAAGGGGGGCAGCGTGGACTGGTGTCGCATCCACCTCAGGGAGCACCAACGAGGAGCCCCGTTACTCACAGCCCACGGGGAGGCAGAGAGAAGGCCCTCAGAGACAGCACACGAAGCTCCATCCTTGCTTACAGATCTGCTGAGAATAAGGTCCAGAGAAGAGAAAAATCACCCAGCCAATTCCAGAAGGCCAGATCAGAGCCCAGAAATAGAGGGAGTGTCCCAGGAGCACTCGTCCTGAGCATGCTGGGCCCAGGGACAACCCTCAGGCCTCCCTGGGCACCTCCTCGGGCAGCACCCTGTCACCAACACAGGTACTGCTGGGGTGGAGATGGAGGGGCAGAGTCAGCATGCGGACTCTACCCACCAGGGTCTGACTTGGTAGAAAAGATGCAAACCCGTAAGGAATCAAGCACAAACGATAAGTAACAGGGGCAAAAGAGGAGGGTACGTACTGCATAGGCAAACCCCTGGGACCTCCAGAGAAAGAATAAACTGATTGGGAGTAAAGAAAAGATGCCAAAGGCCTTCTGAAGACATGAGCAAGATGGCTTCCTGATACTTCTTGCCCATGGTAGCCCTGCCAGGGGCTAGCAGGCCAGGCAGCATTTTGCTCTAGGACAAGCCACAACCAACCGTTCAGAGAAGCCCCACAAGGCAGACAGATCCCTGGGGAAGTTAAGCACCTGCTCTCTGCCCCCTAACACTGGTCAAGACAGGACCCATACATATGAAACAGACCACACTCTAAGCAGAGGGTCAGTGAAAAAGAGGAAGACCCTCAACGAGACGGACTGACACAGTGGCTGCAAAAATGAGTTCAAACATAGCAAAGATTATGAGGATGGCACAGGATTGGGCAGTGTTTCCTTCTGTTGTACAGAGGGTCACTATGGGTCGGAACTGACTTGACGGCACCTAACAACATAAAATTTTAATGACAGGTTTCAGAGTGAGTGAGTGAATGAATGAATGAATGGCTATATAACTTTATGCCACACCAGAGATGGCTCTGAGCCTAAGGTCTCTGCGGGTTCAGAGAAAGAAAGGGAAAGTGTGGGCTGGAAGAGCTGGGAGGGCTGCATGGGAGAGGTGAGCCTGCACAAGCCCTGGAGTACAGGAGAGGGGAATAGCTCATGGACAGGAGGAAGGGCAGGTGCTCAGGGAACAGCATGAGCTTGTGCAGAGAGGCAAAGAAATCACTCCTCAGGAAGTTGCCCTGGGTGTCGTGGAAAATGAGTCTGAGAGGTGTGGCTCTCAGCCAGACCCCAAGACAGGTCAGGAGGCCAGGCTGGTTGTGTGCCAAGGAGGTCTGCTGGCTGGGACTGAGGAGGGGCAACGCAGGATCCAGACCCTGACCAGCAAGCAGACAGGCTGTTCAAAGTGTGGAGTCAGAAACAAGAGCCACAGGGTACCTAGACACCAGAGAGGGTCCAGCAGAAGCGCCATACCCCGGAAGACGAGCAGGGGGACATTCTGAGCCAGGCAGAGCCCCCCTTCAGTTCTGGTCGGTTCTGGCTATGTGGTGTGTACCTGTATCTGCCCAGGATCCCTTCTTCCCCATGTTCTAGTATTGAGATCCTTTTCCTCCCTTTCTTTGAGAAGCTGCTCCACTCCTTCTCCTTGTGATCCAATGTACTGAGCCCAACTTCCTAAGCCACAGGGCTGGCCTGTCAAAACCTTTCCATTTTCTACACTGGAACCAGTATAGAGAAAAACTCCCTTCTCCAGGATATAGATGGATATAAACCAGGAGCTGTCTAAAGCCATGCCAGCAGCAGCTTGATTCCTACCCCACCCACCCTCCCTCCCTCAGGCACTCTCCTCCACCCATCTCCATGGAGGGAAGCCCATCTACAGTAGGAGAGAACAGAGCTCAAACTAAGTATACCAGAGAGAAAAGAGAGAGAACCTGATGACCTTTTCAAGTTGCTGGGGTCACTTTCCTAAGTCCCTGCAGGAGCTGGGTGTGTGGAGCAGGACCGGGGGCCAAGCATGGGCCTGCGCCTGCGCCCGGCCTAGCCGTTTCTCGTTACCAATTTAAAGAGGGTGCCCATACTCACTCTGGGCCCTGCCCCAAGGCCCTCACGGCTTCAGGGGCTCCTCAGACACCCTGCCCCCAAGAAACATCCCTCTGAATACCAGCCCTTTAGTGCTGCCCAGTCAGGGGTTGAGGACACACAGCAGAGGGAGGGTGGCAAAAACCCGGCCTGTGATCGTGACCCCCCCAGGTGCATCATGCAGGGGCGCAGAGCCAGGAGCCTCCAAGCAGTCTTGCCCTCACCAGACACTGACCTGCTCCAAGAAACAGATACTCTCTCCCAAGGCAGCTCAGCCTTGGGCTCTGGAGGCTCACTGCTGTATGCTTTTCAGGGGAGAATGACCAAAAGAGCTCTGATGAGGCCTAGGGGAGGAGCAAAGCGAGGCAGGGAGAACCCTTGGCGGGAATTCTGTGAACAATGGCTGATGACCTTGGGCAAGTGCCTTCACTTCAGTCTCCCTACCTGTGAGGCTGAGCTAAAAATACCTCATAAGGAGAGAAGAACTAATGAATGCCAAAATGCTGGCCACTGGGTTGTGGCTGAAAGATTATAATTACAGTGGGTTTCCTACAGAAAGAGGCCAGACCTAGTCCTTCAGAACACAACTTAATTCAGCCTTGAGATACTGGCCCCATCCCCTTCTCACCCTATAGACTTTGGACCAGAGCTGCAGCTCATGCCAGGGGTGGGAGGCAGTCTTGCTGGCTGGCAAGTGGGTGCCCTGACAGTTGGGGATCTGAGTGGGTTAAAAGGGCAGAGGCCTGGTATGCCTCCCAGTGACATCAGTGGAGTTGGTGTGCTCAAAGTCAACAGAAGGATATTAAGGATGTAGCTTGTCTCCGACACGATAAATGAGAATAAACCTTGTTCAGGGCTAAGCTGGCTGGACTGAATAAATACCATTAGCACTTGGATTACTGGGATATTCACAATCAGCAGGCAAGTCAGCTGTCTGTGTGCAGAGGGACAGCAGCAGCTGCTGCGCTGTAAATCT